AAGTACATGTTTGACGAATAAATCGGACGTAAGCCACATACTTTACCCATTAAAGCATAAATATGATGTTTGAAGGAAAGTTCACAATCTATTGTAACACCAAGGCACTTATGCTGGTGCACAAAATCAATTTTGTACTGAGCTATAAATATATTTAGTAGGTAAACGAGCATTAAATGAAGTCACCATCAAAAAGCAGTACTCGATGCCAGTGGTTGAAGAACAACTTTCGTTGTTATCTGGAAATAAGTATTGTACAACGTCAAGGAAGAATCCAAGAAATTCACGGCGTTTATAACACCAGACGGTCTCTATGAATATAATGTAATGCCTTTCGGATTAACAAATGCACCGATGGTCTTCCAGGAAATGATAACTCAAATAATACGTAAGTTGAAACATCGGAGAAACATCGTAAGTTATGTGGATGAGGTAATAATCCCGAGCTTGACGATTAGTGAAGAACTCCAAGTACTAGAAGAGTTCCTAACCGCCATAAGAGAAGAGGGGTTGACGCTAAGGCCAACTAAATGTTCGTTCCTTCAGGAAAGTGTAAGTTTCCTAGGTCATACAGTGAGTGCTAATGGTATACGCCCTGGAGAAGAGAAGACAAAATGTATTTAAGAATTTTCAAGACCCGAAAGCGAATCAGATGTGCCCAAGTTTATTGGCATCACTAACTTCTTCCGCAAGTTAGTGCCAAAGTATAGCCAAATAGCAATGCCACGAGACTAGTGAAAAAGGATGCTGTATTTATCTGAAATGAACCTGAGGAGAATTCTTTTATTATCCTGAAGACCAAAATTACAACACAACCAGTTTTGGCTCTGTTTGATCCAAATAAGGAACACGAAGTGCACACGGATGCCTGTTCTATTGGTTTGTCTGGAGTATTGCTGCAGTATGAAGGTGAGGAACTGCGTCCAGTTTTCTACCACAGTCGTAGGTGTACTGAAAGTGAAGGAAAATATGCCAGTCATAAACTCGAGGTATTAGCAATTGTTGAGACGCTTGAAAGGCTTGGAATTTACCTGCTCGGAAAGTGCTTCAGTATTGTCACAGATTACAATTCCATAGCAACAACAAAAGCGACGTCTCCATTACCCGCTCGTATAGCTAGATGGTGGTTTAAATTGCAGGAGTTTGATTTTACCATTACTCATCGCTCAGGTGCCAAGATGACTCACGTGGATGGGATGGGCAGAAGTCCAACGTTACCATCAAGTCAATCCCGAAAAGTAGCGGAAAATGTTGTGGCACTCACAACGAACATTAACGACCGGATCTATCAGCTTCAAATGTCGGATAGGAAGCTGAAACAATTCTTTGAAGTTCTCAAAGGTAATTCGCAAAGTCAACAATATGAAAGGTATGGTGATTCCAGAAAGAGTCCGGTGGCGAATAACTAAGGCTTGATATGATGATTTGGGACACTTTGTAAGTAGACGGCATCCGGCCTTGGATTGAGATTTTCTTCGCTGGGGTATGTCCAACACCCGCTATTTTTCTAAGGTTTTTAAAAGGTTCCGGTACAAAAATATAAAATTTCTTGTGTTACTGCGGAACCGATTAAAACCAATTCATCTTATGACCACTTGTTGGATAGGTTTTTCCATAAACTTTCAATTTTGTACATATAAGTTTTTTAGAACCGGATAAAACCCGGATTTTGTATCGTAACTTTCGGGTCGAATAACCGGGTAACGGTATTTCTCCATTAAAAAAATACTTATCGTTATCAGGATAAAAGACCAAAACGTGGTAAAGATTTCAGGTCAATCCGGGCATAGCCCCTAAGCTCAACTTAAGCCAAAAAAGCTGTTAAAGAGATGCGGAAAACAGACAAAAAATGAATGTGCTCAATATGAAAAGGCATATTGAATTAACCAATTTTAGAAATGCACATTAGAATACATCAATTACAAAAATGGGAAAAGACGCACAACCTTTCTGGAAACTATCAAAAGTGTTGAAAAAAAATAATTTACCTCCTCTTAAAATAACTTAGTGATATGAATACAATTCTAGAAGCAAATAATAGGTGTGTCTGGTTACCCTAAAATTGGTAACAATTGTTACAAATTGTTACTGGAAGTCGTCTGTTAACCCAAAAGTTCTACAAAAGAGAGCGGTCGGAGAGAGAAATTTTGACAGTTCTTTCAGTGAGAGTTTGCAAATTCTTGCTGGAAAAATAGGTGTGTCTGGTTACCGTAAAATTTGTAACAATTGTTACAAATTGTTACTGGAAGTCGTCTGTTAACCCGAAAGTTCTGCAAAAGAGAGCGGTTGGAGAGAGAAATTTTGACAGTTCTTTCAGTGAGAGTTTGCAAATTCTTGCTGGACAAATTTCTTCTTGCAATCACTTGCAACTCTTCTTCTTCTCATTCATCGACATTCAATCAGATGTTTTCTATTGTTTGTTTATTTATTTTTGTGCTTTCAATTTGAAAATATTTTTTTGGAATTAGCAAGACTAATAGTTTTTGGAGAACAACTTTACAAAATGTGAAAAACGTAAATGTTAACATGTAATAAGAAAATAAAAGACTATTTCCAACATTTTTATTTAAAAAACCTGTAAAATTAGTATTGCTTCCTTTGTTTTAATTCTCCTTATGGGGGACAAATTGGTTTGCTTTGACAAATCAGCTGATTAGGTGCAAGCTTCTGCAGGAATACCGTCTGTTTACTTTTCGCATTTTTCTTGCAAAAGAGAATAAAACTACCTTACTCTCTCAGAAAAATGTTGCTGGACAATTCCTGCAGGAAAAGTAACCAGACACACCTAATGCTGTTTGTAATGTAATGCTGTAATTGTGTAAATGCTGCAACACCAGACGAGATTCGAAACTCACGTCTACTGATGAGGTTTTTAATTTGATAGAAAAGTTATTAAAGAATAACATGTAAAAAAGCAGCTAAATTCGGACGGACCGAACTCCTACTACCTTCCACCATTTTGAAGGTATTTGAAAAATGTCTAGTATTCTTATTGCAACCTTCAATACAACTGGCATAAAAGCTTTCTATGCATTAATTTTTTACGAAGACGAACCTGCACAGACAATCTCCTGTCTTAGGCTGTAGTATCCTTTACGAACTTCAAATACAAAATTTGAAACAATTCCGGTGAATAATTTCGCTAAAGTCATCAAAATACCGAATGTTGGTAGATATAGTTATATGGCGACTTTATGAAGACGTGGGCCCACATAGACAATTTTCTGTCATAGGTTGTAGTACCGATTACGAAATGAAACAATTCCGGTGAATGTCGTTAAAATCATCCAAATAGCGAATGGCGGGTGGTACAGTTGTACGGGGCTTATACGATTATCGTGGACCTATGTAGACAATTTACTTCCAGGGGGTAAAGTACTCAGAAAGAACTCCTTGTGTGTATTTTTAAACAATTCCGTTGAAAAAAATTGGCTAAAATCAGAATACCAAATATCGGAAGGTACGGTGGCTTGAGTTTAGGGGATATGCTCGAATTGACAAGACATTTTTATCACATGAAGATAACTTCAACCTGAATACGGCAAAATACTTTTTGCGTGGAGAAATAGATTTAATAGAATAGATTTAAAATTCCGGTTTAATCTGGTTCTACAAAATTCAGTTAAAAGCTTAAAAAACCCTATCCACGAGTGGTCAAATGGTGGTATTTGAACCGGTTCCGGAGTAATACAAGAAGATTGGTATATTTTTACCGGAACTTTTTGGAAAAAGGCTTAAGTTTAGGGGCTATGCTCGGATTTAACCTGATTACGGCAAATGAATTTTTGTAACAACTCTAGTTTAGTAAGAACTCTTCGATTTTTTCGAATTTTTTTCCAGAGGTAGGTATTTTTACCCTGATTACGGGATTGTAGCACATTGTAGCATTTTGGAAAGGTAAGAGTTTCAGCTATAATTTGGCATCAATTTTGTTGACCCCCATAATGGGCCCCTTTTTGACTTTTTGGGGGTTTTATAAAAAAATCCGGGTCCAAAAAATCGATAATTTGACTATAACTTCCGAACCGTGACCACTTTTGAACTTTTTGGGGGTTTTATAAAAAAACCGGGTCCAAAAAATCGATAATTTGACAATAACTTCCGAACCGTGACCACTTACCCCATCATGTGACCACTTGTTGAATAGGCAACGATACCTATATGGCCTATATCGGGTAATTTGATCTGGGTCTAGTCGGAATCTTGAACCCGGACTTTGGGGTCAAAATCTGGGGTCCCGTGTCCGGGAACAACTCTAGTTTAGTTAAAACTCTTCGATTTTTTTCGAAATTTCTTCCAGAGCTAGGTGTTTTTACCCTGATTTCTGGAAACTATTTTTTTCTTTGAAAAGTTTTTACTGACCTAGAGTTAAGCCGTATTTTCAACTTACTTACGGCAAAGTTTTTTGTGGGGGGAATACCGGGTTACCCGGTTATTCGACCCGAAAGTTCCGATAAAAAAAATCCTTCCGAACTTCCGGGTTCATTTCCAGTGGTAGGTATTTTTACCCTGATCCCGGGAAACGCTTTTTTCTAGGGGGCGGACACAGGATCGGGGTAAAAATACCTACCACTGGGAATCAACCCGGTTATTCGGACGGATTTTTGCTATCGGAATTTTCGGGTCGAATAACTGGGTAACCCGGTATTTCCCCCTCGAAACACTTACTTTGCCGTATATAAGTTGAAAATACCTACCAGTTATAAAAATTTGAAAATGATCCGAGCATAGCCCCTAAACTCAACTTGCTTCCATTTAACACTTGTTTTCAATCATATCACAGTATTACACAAGTTGATTACTAACAACACCACAAGTAAATAAACGCGATAATCATGTATTAACAATTCACACTTACAACAAATGAATATAAAAGTATAAATTTATAGGTATATTAGCTGCACCATATAACGTTCTTTAACTTTAAGCAAGCTTTAATGACAATTTACATGCTTATAAATCCAAATATTTAATGAGTTTAACAATTTGATTATAAGTACCTTTTAGAGTTTTTACAAAATGTTTGAAAAGCCGTTCAATGTTTGACACCATATAAATTTATTTATAAGCTACACATCCGAATCAAAAAGTATATTTTTCACATAACCCTGAAATCTTCCAAAAAAATTATCTGAGAACTGGTTATAACCCATTGCGTTCCTTGCCATATATAACCCGAGGTCACTCATTTACAATAGTAAATTCGGGTTTCGAGAACATAACAAAATCGGCAAAAATTGCCGTACAATAGGAGTGTTCGTTTACACAATTTATTCGAAATATGATAATCTATTTATCTATTGTGCAACTGGAACGCCTTATCTAGGATTTGTCATAATACCCGACAACATATTATTTAATGTTTGACACCATATAAATTTATTTATAAGTTAGACATCCAAAACAAAAATTATGTTTATCGTATAACCCTGAAACCTTCTTATGAATTATCTGAGAACTGTTTATAACCTATTGCGTTCCTTGCCACATATAACTCATGGTCTCTCATTCACAATAGTAAATACGGGTTTCGAGAACATAACAAAACCGACCAAACTTTTAATACAATAGGAGTGTTCGCTTACACATTTTTTAATGAAATATGGTAAGCTATTGATCCATTGGGCAATTGGAACGTCATATCTAGGATTTGTTATTATACCTGCCAACTTTTTCATTCCGTTATAACTCATCCACGTTATACCCTTGCAAGAATTAATTTTCCTGATCAGAGTAAAATTATAGTTTATTTTCCGTTATCCGTCTGTTAGAATTTTGCACATAAAATTATTTTATCATTAGGCAGGTCAAGTTCGTAAATGGTCCACGTTTTCCATCCACGGTCCATGATTTCGAAATGGTCCCCATAAAAATGTACCACCTGATATTCGATTTTCGCCAGAATTATTTTAAACTTAGAATTTGAAGTTCGCAATAGGCACTTATTTCTATGACAGAAAATTGCATGTACAGATCGACCTTCTGATTTTCGGTATTTTTTTCAATTTGGTCCAAAATTTTCAACGAAATTATCTCGAAATTGTTATTAGGAGTTCAAAACAGGCCTTTTTTGGCAGATAAAAGTAGGTTTACAGACAAAACCTCTACTTTGGTTACACCTGATTGTATAAAACGTACCATATATTTATTTTGTATATAAACGTCCTCATTTGCTGATGTACCACCCGATATTAGATATTTTTATCGTTTTAACGACATTTTGTAACGGATTTTTTTTTAATTTTGCGAGCTCATTCCAAATAAGGGAGAGTATTAAAAGTTCGAATTTTTTCTTTGTTTATACTGTTTTTTCTTATTTATACCCTCCACCTTAGTATTGAGGGCATATTAAGATTGTCATTCCGTTTGTAATACATCGAAATATACATTTAAGACCTCACAACATTATACATAACACTGATCTTCATAAGCCATAAATTGGCCGTCTGTCTGTGGAATTTTTCGTATATATTTCAGATCCGTAAAATTGTAGGCATAGAAAAAGGCTATATTCGGGCCTGTCACAGGAACGAATTCGGTACGAAAGTTATGTTAATTATGTATTTAGCTTCTTCATAAATAGCAAAACGTACAATTTTTCTGGTTTGAAGCCACATTTGTTTTTGCAAGTGAAATTGTATTTTTATGGAAACTTATGATTTTTAAATACTCTCAAAACACGTGATAACAATGATAACAATGTTGTCTTAATGACAAATACAGTTTTAAATGTACATTTTTTATATTTTTATTTAAAATAATTTAGAAATAAATTAAAAATAAATTTAAATAATTTAAAATTTAAAGAAACCAATTGTTAACAATGTGTTGCCAAATCATTATACCCTACACCACAAGGTGATCAGGGTATTATGTCTTTGTGCATTTGTTTGTAACAGGCAAAAGGAAACGAGATAGACCCATAGTTCCTTTTCATGATCTGCATAGAATCACTTTCTGAGTTGATTTATGCATGTCAGTCCGTCTGTCCATGTATTCTTGTGAATAAAATGTAGGTCGCATTTATTATCCGAATTTGCAAACAACATTTGTTTGGCCCAAGGACGAACCCTATTGATAATCGGTAAAAATTTAGATATAGCTCCCATATATATCTTTGATATTGATATGATATTTGCGCTATAAAATTTATCAAAATTTTCTGCTTCTTACTTTTTAAATACTGTAGACGATGGAATGCATAGTTTGTTTGTATTTGATTTGTTTATTTAGTTTTCTGTGTGAGTAGATTATATTACGTGTTCCTCGGTCATGTAAAAGTTAATGTATGACAATCCTAGGACATGCGCGTTTTAACAATCATTTCGTATGGAATCAATGAAACATATGCACATCGATTCTTTTCCCACTGCTCAGTGGGAAATTGAGAACGCATTACCTAGATAAATAATAACATTGTGAGTTATTACATTTGGTTTGGTTGTAGTAGAATAGACAGATTTCAACAAACATATGGTTGATTTGACATGCCGCCAACCCTTTAGGCATCTAAATGTCAACACACAAACAAAGAGTTGAGCTTTGTATCAAGGCTTGAATCGCAAGCAACTCATCCGCGCTTTATTGTAAGCTGTTGTATATATTGTTGTACTAAAGAAAGGTAATATCGTTTACCACAAATAAATATACAAGGCAATTGGGCAAACATCCTTTATTAAAACTATCGTGTTTTATTTATTTTCTTTTTATTAAACCCCCTATACCTTTGGCAGTCACACGTACGTATTGGACGTACTGACTCTATTGGGGGAGTTTCTGGCACTTGTCCCCCGAGTCTCTTTAGTGCGGACTTAACATTGGTTCTTGGAGCCGGATAAAGCAGCACTTTGGCTTACTACTGGAATACCTTTGTTATCTTTAGATACAGTCCACAAAGGCATCACCGCTTAATTTACTTACATCGGTACGTATAGTGAGCAAAACAGGTGTTTCGTTTATTGGTGGCCGTCATAACAATCGTCGTGTATTCCCTTTTTTCGCTATAGGTCAAAGTCCATTTGCGGACAGGACAGCGGGAATAATAAAAGCAAAACAAAATAAATAATTCTGCAATTTCGTTTTGGTTCTTATTATTCTCCAACTTCGTAGTCAATATTGTTGACATATTGATATTTGATTTGCTGTGTTACATTTTAAAACAGCATCCCTCAAAGTGCAATTTCTTTTCTCCTTATTGTTTTCGTTTTAGGCGGCACCAAATATACACAAAAATATATTCATATTTACGCGAGTGACATACGTACATTTTACAGCCTATTGGTGGCTGCATATTTCGTTTAATACACACAGGTACGTATTGTTACATACTCCAGCATCGTCGCTTTGTCGTTCCGTCTTGCCGGTTAGTCAGTTGATTGCACGCGGCAAGCATACATACGCATTCGCACATAAATATTTCGTTTGGGCAATTTTCTTTTGTGTCGTGTCCGTTTTTATTACACAGCCCCCCGCCACTATATTATTACACGGTGTCTGGTCGGTAAATTAGTAATGATACCAGTATTTATATATTTAATTGTAAATATATAAAATCAGTGTAGGGGCGCATTTTAAAAATAATTTTGGACATTTTGGGTTATCGTACACCCTACATCCGGCCAATTCGGCTTTTCATTTGTGTAGGGCGCATCTTTGGCATATAGTTGCAAATTATATAAATTGGTCAATTTTAAAAAGCTTTTTGATTTCCGATAATTTACAGTTGTGACTTTCTTTTTGGTATGCTACAATCGGTAGCTCGATTAATAAATTTAACAATTCGTTTATTCTAATAACAATTTTCTTTCTTTTTCATTGCATATCGTTGCAAACGGTTAATTTGGTGCATTTCAACTCTTTTGTGCTTCCCATTCTGCTTTTTTTGTTATTGTCGTAATTCATTGTTGGTGATTTTGATTCAAATTGGAAATTAAATAAATTAGATTTTTATTGAACATTCCTGATTTCAGTTTGATAAGCATCTCGTTGGATTTTTTTTTGATTTTTGTTCAATTGCTTTGAAACTTTTGTAATAGCTAGAGAGTTTAGATTTAATTTGGACAATCTATTCCGCTATTTGAGTTAATTATCTTAACATTTCGGTAATTATTAACTTTTTCTTTGACATCAAGCCAGTTTTATTTTAACGGTTTGCACATTTGGATTTAGTTCCTCCCTTTGTACTTAATTTATTGAAATGGCTTACACTCCTATTGAAAAGTTCCTGAGATCTTCCAACTCTCTGGTGAGATTCATTGCACAATACGGTGCCCTGAAGGAAGATGAGCTTGACATTTATGATCTAGCGGTTAGGAGGGAAGAGATTGGAAAATTGTTGGAAATCAGTTGAGGAAACTTTTAGTAATTGTCTCTCCCAAGTCGAAAATTCCGCACCTTGATTCGCTTTGTAGCAAGTATGAGGTTTCGTCCAAGGAATTTATGATTTGCACATCGGCAATTAAACGATTGTTGTCTAAATGTCAGAGTGAATCAAATGTGTCCCTAAACTCATCTCGCAGCAATTCAGTAGATTCCTTAACGGAGCATCTAGATACTATTCTTGTAGAAAAGCTCGTTGTCCTTCTCGTGAGGTGAGCATCTAGCTCAGCAATTTTAAATATTGGGAATCCTAGAATAGGCACAAGCTTTGTTGTTGATCCTCTACATGTAGATAACTTCCACAGTTCGGGGGTACCTCCTTGTAATATTGAGATCTTCGGACTCTTCTGTGTTTGCATGAAGTGAGGGATGTTGACACTTCGCTTAATTTGAACCACAAGAGAGTGTCTTCTAAGACTGTAGTTTCCTCCTCCCCCGCTTCTCCGGGTCTGAAAAATCATAATTCCTCCCCTCGTTTGCCTAACAATTCTTGTTACATTACATCTTTATCCTCGGTTCGTAAATGGTACACCGATGGAAAGAGAAAGAACGTGTAAATTGCTTTCGTAAGGGACACGAAGACAAAAATTGTACCAGTCGTTCTTGTCGAAAGTGCAATAAGAGACATCACACTCTTTTGCACATAGATCGCTCTATTGTGAGTAGTCCGAGTCAAATTGTGCCTCCTAGAAATTCGACTTTGTCTTCGTATGCCCCCTCCTTTCGACCTAGAAACCTAATTAGTAATCGTTCACCCGGTTCAAATACGATTGA